CTCCGTTCTTAATAACTTTTTATTATTAATAAATCTCTGTGATTTCAATAATTTGTTTTTTTTTTAATAGAAAACAAACAAACAAACTCTGTCTGCACCAATTTCTCTCCATCCGCAGCCACGCGGCCAGACGGACTGGTAAAGAAAACCTTGTATCGTACGTAGAATTGCTTGTAGCTGGCTCTCCTCTCCTCTCACAGTCCTCCCGCAATGGAGTCCGTGTAGTCATTAAGCTACCATCTTCAGCAGAATAGACGCCTGAGTGAAGAATAAAGCTTAGTTAAAAAAAAAATAAAGAAGAACGCCTGGTCATTGTCGCGACATCTGGAATGAAAGTTGCCCCAAATACAGCTATAATGACCCGGCGGTCTATTCGGGCGAAGACGGTAGCTCTGCTCCTTAGCTTCGTACTCTTCCTTCTTGCACCCCGTCGTTGCAGATCCTCTTGCATTTAGGGGTTTATTTCCTCTGGCCCTTTTGCCATTAGGGGTCTGACTCTCTTGCATTTCCATTTGACCTGCCGGTAGTTGGTGCCATACCCCAGCCATTAGGGGTCTGACTCTCTTGCATTTCCATTTGACCTACCGGTAGTTGCTGCCATACCCCAGTCTTTGAAGCTATGTATTTTTTCATTGACATTTGATACCGCCTTCCCCACAACACAACGTACCCTCTTCATGACTGTGTCAAACTGGAAGGATAGCTTATATACGTTCATAGTGCAGGTGCATTGGGAACGCCCATGTGCCAAGGTGTATCGTATCTGTAGTTTATCCTTTTCCTTACCTCAAGACGATGTTTCTTTTTTTTTCTGACCTCTGCCTGAACGAGAAAGCTGTGCTTTTTGTTCTGAGAATTGTCTCAGAAGAGTATATTACTATATTATGTTTGCCTGACTTCTTTCTCAATTTATGCATGCCGTCCTAGCGCAGAGGCCATGCTAATCATCTCTGCATTGTTCCGATTTTGACGGATTTCCTGAAAGAGTTCTTTCCGTCTATGTCCTGAGAAATCTTTGCATTATGCTCCGACTCCTCTGAGATAATTGTCTGCGAAAGTTGGAACATTGTTGTATGATTCTGATTATTTTATCAGGATTGAACTCATGATCTGTTTGCCAACAGTTGGTTACATTTGTGTACCATTGAGCCACATCAGTTGGGTATCGGCTGAGAAGACGGTATTTTTCTGAGAATGTACCGGAAACCTGTTTTGTTCGGAGAATTTTGTCAGAATTTAGATTTTCAAACTTCCAGTGGGAAGTAATCAATGCCGTCCACTTGGGCCTCTCAGCGATAATGGGGAGGAGCGTGGGTGAGTGCAGTGTTGTAACTTTCCTGACTTGCCAGTGGAATAGGAACTGGATTGATGTTCCCCAGAATGGAACGGAGCCGGAGCCGTCAGGCCGCGTGTTTTTCTTTTTTGGTTTTGCTTTTTTAATGCAGGTTTGAGTCTTCTCCTCATATGTGGGACAGCCGCATTTCTTACTATGCTATCATCTTCTCTCAGTATTGCGCTCCCTACCCGGAATCTAGGGTATTACCATATAAGCCTAGTCTGAGGTACAGGATCTTAAGGTTGGTACTTCATCCGCATGTCTACCAGCTAAGCACTTCGGCGTTTCAGTGTACAGAGATAAGTAAAGTCTTTGGCCAAAAAAAAAAGAACTTGGACATCACAGAGGTGTATAAAGGCAAGTCTTACGGCACCATTTGCGGCCTCCCAACAACTGCGTGTCAGGACTGCAGCCAGTAGACCCCTGAAGCTTTTGTGCAGGGGTAACTAGGATAGTAGACTGAGCTGTAGAAGTCATCATTTTCCTGCTTTTACGAGGCCTGACATTTTCCTGCTATTGCTGGGGGTCGCATTCTCCGCCACCATAGGCCTCACATTTTCCTGCTATTGCTGGGCTCCGCATTGTCCCACCATTGTGAGGCCTAGTTTCATAAATAGGTCCAGGAGTGGGACGGTGAGGAGTAGGACTGCGAGGTTGGGCCGCTACCGACCACAAGGGTGTGAAGTACAAAATCAGTGAGATGCCTGAGAAGGTTGGCATTATGCTGCTGCCCGGTTATCCCGTTGGTGCTCCACTGTGTTACATGCTGCGCCTGCAACAGGCTGCACGGGCCACTTTCAGGCCTATGACGTTTTCAGGCCAAAAGCCTGAAAACAAGGGCATATAAGCCCTGTGTCGTTTCAGCCTGAAAGCCTGAAAACCAGGGCCTACAGGCCCTGTGTCGTTTCAGCCTAAATCAGGGCCTTTCCGGCCCTGAGTCTTTTCAGCCTGAAACTGAGGGCCATTTTCAGGCCCTCATGAGTTCGGCCTGCCCCAAAACTCAGGCACCAAACCAGGGTTTTAGCTCAGGCCATTTTTGGCCTATTTTCAAGACAACCTTCGTTTGAGCTTCAACCCTGGGGTCTGGCACGTTTTGGCATTGGCAAGAGCAGCCTCCTGGACGGGCCAGCACTATAAAGGACTGGCCCGCCCTGCAGGCTGCAGGTAGTTCCTAGGTACTTCCCAGGCACTTCATGTGCAGTTCAGGAGGCTGGAGGTAGTCTTCAGGATTCGGCAGCAGCACTCTGGAGGAGCACTGCAGGGGTAGTAGTAGCGTTAGCAGTAGTCTCCAGGGCTGGGCGCTAGTAGCGTTAGCTGTAGTCTTCAGCGCTGGGCGCCACAGCTCGAGTAGTACTATAGAGAGAGAGATTGGGCGGAGGCCAGAGGGACTTACCTGCAGCGCCATCCCTCCAGCTTCGTCTTCAAGGTACCTGCAGCACAGCGCCACCTTCACAGGTTAGTACCTGGCATATGAGAGAGAGAG